TCTCTCTCTCTCTCTCTCTCTCTCTCTCTCTCTCTCTCTCTCTCTCTCTCTCTCTCTCTCTCTCTCTCTCTCTCTTTCTCTCTCTCTCTCTTTATGTGTGTGTGCGTTGCCGTGAGCAGCCTCCAACACCATTGTCGCGTGGGCGACAACACAAATGTGGGCTACAGCAAAAAGTGTTGGTGTTGACGCCCACAACGATGGCACAACCTCATATATAAGCACACGAAGGCCCCAAGGCCCGCCCAGTCCACACAAAGTCCTTTTTTTTTTTTTGGTGAAAAATGAGAAAAAAAAAAAGGATTGGCCGCGTCCCCACGGGGCTCAGCGTGGCAGGCAGTGGCGCGGGGCAGGGCTGCTTCGGCCTGCCCTTCGAAACAGCCCTGCCACGCGCCACTGCCTGCCAGGCTGAGCCCCGCGGGGACGCGGGCAGTCCTTTTTTTTTTCTCATTTTTCACCAAAAAAAAAAATTATTAATAATTTTTTTTCAACAACACTCCAGTGCCCCCGGCAACCCCCCCCAACACCCCATGCCCTTAAACCCCCCCTAGCACCCCCCCTTTGGGCCGTAGCACGCTCGTACGGAAGACGTCCGTACGCTCGTACGGACGTCCGTCCGTCCGTCCGTACGGTCCGTACCGAGACCCGTACGGGGAAGGCTGCGTCGCAGCGCATGCCCGGCATGCGCATGGTTGCACCTCGCTGTCGATACCTTGCGCGCGCCGCTCCTCCGACCATGACTCAACTTCCACCCACGAGCACGCCGTCAACCCTGGTTGAGGCGGCACCGGCGTGACTTGTGAAAAAAACACGCCAAATACCCTTGTAAGGGTATTTGGTACGACAGCCTGCCCGGACCCTATTAAGCGACATCCTCGTTGCACCAAGCATTCCTATTCAAGTACTATTTTAAACATAGTCTCGCGAAAAAGTATATAATATCCTCTTTCGAGTCAGTAACTTAACAAAAAATGATCATTAAGTTATATCGACTCCAAGCCTTGATCCTTCAGAAGAAAATGGACAAAATCATCGGTCAAAAATATCTTTTAGTTCCTGATCAAAATAGCAGTCTACAATAGCCGAATGATCGGCTAGCACAAACACTTTAATCTAACAAAGTGGATAAAACCACTTTCCAGCCACTGTAATCGCGGACAGGAAGTCATCTAGTGCGAACTTAAGACTACACCACTTCCGGTCTCTTTGAGCGATATTCTGTCGTGTCAAGCACCCTGATCATCCTACCGCTGGCTAAAACTCAAATTCAGTGGTGGGTTAAAATTCAGGACCTCAATCTTTATTTAGACTCTTTTCTTTTCACACATCAATTACTCAATTCCAACTGATCAATACACTCCTTTTCGAGCTCTTCCCTAAAAGGGACACCCAATTGTGGGGTTTAATCAAATACCTTAATCTTTCAGCTAATCTAGAAGATTAGGGTGTTTGATCCCATTACACATACCCCAAATGTACCTTATGGGTAGGGCCTTGTTAAGCCCAATCCCACAAGCCATTACTGTCACTCTAAAACCACTAATTTTAGTGATTCATCAAAGGGATGGGTGAGGATATTCACTTAGTCTTTCAAAATAAAAGAAAGTCACCCATTTTTCTCATAAATCCTACCTTTACGGACAGGGTTCTTCTCTTTGGTCACACACTTTGTCAATCTCACCCATAAGCTTTGCTCAATGAGCAACCTCTCATAATCTTCTTCCAAATAAAACTCACTTATTTCACACTCATTGACAACGTCACTTTCAAGAAAACTAAAGCCGATTGGAGGGTCCCCAAGATCAGGTGGGTTTCCCCGACCGCTGACGACACTCCCACCAACTATTGGTCAAAACTTTAATCTTCTCAATCATGGAAATCATTGTCGCGCGCTAGACCGTTTGTAGCATATAACAAGCTAAGTGAAGGGTCCCTGAATCTGGCGGGTTTCCCTGCCGCAAGTGACACCTCTACCGGTTACCATATGACTTAAACAAACGGGGATGCCGATTCTGACGGTTCTTTCCTTATTCTCTGCCGCGTACAAAATCACATGTGATTCACAACCAAAGGCCAAACATGAGGGGTCCCAGAATAAGGCGGGTTTCCCTGCCGCAGACGACGCCCCCACCGGCAGTTGAGAACCAACAACATGAAGTTGTCGATTCTGGCGGAGGATAAAACTCTTAAAAAATCTTTCAAGCCACCCTGTCATTCAAGGATGAGCCTTCCATAAAGTGCATTAAGACCCCTTCCCACTTGAAGGAGAATCAACCATAAAAATCTCCCAGTCATCCTCTCACTCACGGATGGATTATCCATATATCCTTTTAACATATCTTTCACTTAAAGATGAGTCTAGATAAAATCAAACCATAAAAATCTCTCAGTCATCCTCTCACTCACAGATGGATTATCCATATATCCTTTTAACATATCTTTCACTTGAAGATGAGTCCAGATGAAATCAATAACCTCTCTCTTTATATAAATTTATGGATTCTTCAAGTCTCCTATAAATCTTTCATTCAAAATCACACTTTCTTCACTTCATTGAACCCTCTTTGGTCTGCGCACTTCATCCACCTTTTTACTTTACCTTGTTATTCTTTTCTTTCTCATACGTTAGATCAAACACAAGTCGAGAGCCCACAAGGTTTCAATG